CTTCATTACCTTCTTTATATAAGTACGTGTTTTAAGTTATTTCAAAAAAATATTACATGAAATATTTATTTTATTTTTCATAAAATAAACGTAAGAGACAATTAAGTCAACTTCAGTATGGAACAATGTTCTTATTAACGTAACGCTATAAAGCCAGCTTCACTACAGGACGATATTTACATGTCTTCCAATATTTAGCGACTCTTCACTTAAATCAAAATTTTAATCTATATCACTTATTTAGAAACTTGTGCTTACCTAATAATTATATAAAATAGGCTGGTCAACATGGGTGCCGATAAGTACTAATAATAAAAGTAATATTAGAGCTCTAAGATAATGTTATAACCTATACTTTAGATGTCGTAACCTATTTGTTAGCTAGAGAGCGCATGACGTTAAGGTCAAATAGGTCTAGATTTGACGTCATCAGGCTTTGTAGTATGTTCCAGGGTAGATTATAAATACAAAGTTTAGCGAAGTATCGATAAGGCAGTTGAGAAGATACTTAAGTGATTGTCAAAAAGAGTTTACTTCAAGATAGCAGAGTCGTTTATAGCTGTTAGAGTTTTTAGTTTCAATTCTGAAGTGGTACAATTAAGTTTATTATTTACGTTAGTGTAGTGCAGTTAGTGTCATTTGTACAGGTGGCCTACAACTGTGTACAGTGAAAGCAGTTTGCAAAAAAGTTAAGGAAGAGATAATCTAATTTTTTATCATTTACATGGACTGAATTATTTTCACCAGATAACTGAAAAAAGTCCACCAACAAAAGAACAAAAAAAAATGTTGCCATCGTAAGTTGATAAAACAGGTTTTATAATTGGTTCATCCTATATCATATATGCTAAACCATGATAACACTAACAGATGTTGTCATTTATTATATAAACAGCTAAAAAAAGCCTACTAATTTTGCAACATTCTCCTGTTCTTCAAAGCTCAAGTATTCTATACTAGTGACATATCGCATGATGTAATGATCTTTCCTGTCCTGATATAACAAAAGAATAACATCGTCTTTAAAGGCTGCAGCTTGGATCAAACAGAGGGTTAATATCTTCACTTCTACAGGCCACTTTTTATCCAAGAGGATCTTTCCTAAACAAAGAATTAAGTTATACACATTAAATCCATTGGTTTGTTCTCAAACAATAAAATACAACGAGAAAAACTCAAAACTTCATTACATTGATATTCACAAGAACATATTCTAAAACGTCTCTATGGATTTTAACATTATTGGTTACAATTGAAATCTAATGCTCAATTTCAACCAATAATGATAACAGATTTAGTTTAAGATTATTTAAAAAAGAATCCAACCAATCAGGTCCAGGTGTGCTGCCCCCAAAGCCCAGGCTCCTCCTTCTGTAACCATATATTCTTCCAGTTCCCGCAGTGAGTGCTTTTCTTCTTTACTTAACTTGTCCTGAACAGCGTGAACGAGTTTCTTTGTTACTTCTACTCCCTAAACAGAAGTCATTAATAAACATGTTATTAAATCAGTGGTCAAACATTAATAAACATTTGACCACTGATTTGATAACAC